GGGGGGCGGCGGCGGCGCCGGCGCCAACGCCTCGGAGGCCGTCTGGGGGCCGCCGCGGGGCCAGTACTCGGCGGGGGCAGTGGCAGGGCTGGCGGCCGTGGTGGGCTTCCTCATCGTCTTCACCGTGGTGGGCAACGTGCTGGTGGTCATCGCCGTGCTGACCAGCCGGGCGCTGCGCGCGCCACAGAACCTCTTCCTGGTGTCGCTGGCCTCGGCCGACATCCTGGTGGCCACACTGGTCATGCCCTTCTCACTGGCCAACGAGCTCATGGCCTATTGGTACTTCGGGCAGGTGTGGTGCGGCGTGTACCAGGCGCTGGATGTGCTCTTCTGCACTTCGTCCATCGTGCACCTGTGTGCCATCAGCCTGGACCGCTACTGGTCGGTGACGCAGGCCGTCGAGTACAATCTGAAGCGCACGCCACGCCGAGTCAAGGCCACCATCGTGGCTGTGTGGCTCATCTCCGCCGTCATCTCCTTCCCGCCACTCGTCTCGTTCTACCGCCAGCCCGATGGCGCCGCCTACCCGCAGTGTGGCCTCAACGACGAGACCTGGTACATCCTGTCCTCCTGCATTGGCTCCTTCTTCGCTCCCTGCCTCATCATGGGCCTGGTCTACGCGCGCATCTACCGTGTGGCCAAGCTGCGCACGCGCACGCTCAGCGAGAAGCGCGGACCCGCGGGCCCCGACGGCGAGTCTCCGACCACCGAGAACGGGCTAGGCGCGGCGGCGATCGTAGGTATTGGAGAGAACGGGCACTGTGCGCCCCCGCGCGCTGACGTGGAGCCGGACGAGAGCAGCGCGGCCGAGAGGCGGCGGCGGAGGGGTGCACTGCGGAGGGGCGTGCGGCGGCGCGAGCCCGCGGCTGACGCGCTGGGGCCGGGCTCCGGGTCCGCGGCGCCCGAGCCGGGAGCGCTGTCCGCCTCCAGGTCCCCTGGCCCGGGCGGGCGCCTGTCGCGCGCCAGCTCGCGCTCCGTCGAGTTCTTCCTGTCGCGCAGGCGCCGGGCGCGCAGCAGCGTGTGCCGCCGCAAGGTGGCCCAGGCTCGGGAGAAGCGCTTCACCTTCGTGCTGGCGGTGGTCATGGGCGTGTTCGTGCTGTGCTGGTTCCCGTTCTTCTTCAGCTACAGCCTGTACGGGATCTGCCGCGAGGCCTGCCAGCTGCCCGACCCGCTCTTCAAGTTCTTTTTCTGGATTGGCTACTGCAACAGCTCTCTCAACCCGGTCATCTACACCGTCTTCAACCAGGACTTTCGGCGCTCCTTCAAGCACATCCTCTTCAGACGGAGGCGAAGGGGCTTCCGCCAGTGACAGAGCGTCCTGGACAGCTGGGGCAGGAGCGAGGTGGCCTCCCCAGAGACCAGGGACATACTTGGTCTGCTGGGCGCAGGGAAAGGTGCCCTGGCGCTGCCTCCCGGGAGTGGGGAGGAGAGAGGGCCACCCCTTTGCCTCCCCGCTCAGCAAGGGGCTGCTTCTGGGCCTGCAGGCCTAGGTCCAGCTCCTGGGGGCCCTGCAGGGTGCCCCTGTGAAGTTGGGGTGTGACGGCCACCGTGCAGTTGTGGCCCCTACGGAGTGAGAAAGAAGCCTCCCGCAGATGCTGCCCAGTGTCCCCACGAAGCAAGGGCTGACTTCCCCGGCACCAGGCACTGACACTGATTATTGGAAGGATTTAGATGTTTGCCAAAAACGACGACAGCCAAAACACCAAACTATTTTCTAAATAAACCTTTGTAATGTAAGTGTCAGGAGCAGCCATCTGTTCCTTTGCGCCTGGGCAGGGAGGCCTCCAGACCCTCATGCCGCCTCCTCCGCCTTGGGGGAGTGCAGTAGGGCTTTGGGGGCCTCTGGGTTCCAGGGTGCCCTCCTACATGAGCATGAGGGGTCTTTTTAAAAACTCAAATCTTGTCGTGCAGAACATACTGAGGATTCTTGCGTCCTGAAGCCCAGGAAGGGAAGGAATTGAGCCCCTGAGTGGACTCCGAGGTCAGGTCTGGGAGTGAGATTTGACTGGCCCTGCATTCCCTGTCTGTGCTCCCTGGAGGCACCTGCCACCACGGGGGAGGGGCTGTCCAGGCTATCCCAGGCGCTGACCCTCTCTGTCTGGCTAGTGAGAGGAAGTAGGGTGGAGGTAACACGTGCCTCACCCCCCGTCTCCAGGCAGCAGGCAGTGTGAGCGTCACCTTCATGCTTCTGAGGCTCTGAGCAGAGAGGTGGGCACCTGCAGGGACAGGAGACAGCCAGAGCCGTGCCTGTGCTGCTCCCTCTGCCCAGCTCTTATCTGAAGCAGTGGGCAAGGAGAAGGGCGAATGGATGTGGTGCAGGCCACTCAGCTGGCCAAGACTCCACAGGCTCCTCCACGGCCTGTGCAGAGCCCGGCTGCACCTGGGGAAGCTGAGTGCAGGGCTGGACACAGCATGGGAGGGAGGCCCCGACGCACTCACCTCCAACTCCACTCCTCTCAGCCCCAGACCCTGCTCAGCCCATACATCATCAGCTGGGCCCCAAGGTTCCTGCACTCCAAGTGTGTGTCCTGGCTTATCAGGACCTAGGGTCTGTGCTGGGGTCGCTCAGCCCTCTGTCCTGCCTTTCTGCTGAATCTCTGTCCCACAGGCAGGGGCCAGGACAGGTCCTTAGGGAAGATTTCCTGTAGACACACACCACCTGGCCTTGTTACCCTCTTATGGGTCCTGGAGGAGCTGCCCCAGACTGTCCGCAGCCAGCTCAGGCAGTGACACTTACGCCTGCTGTGTGCCAGGCTCTAACACAGATAGGAACTCACCCTGGGGATGTGGAAGGGTGCTGGGAGTGACCAACCCAGATGGGTCAGAACCTGCCCGTGGCCCTCTGCTGGCCTGGACAGACACCCCACTCTCTCTGGGGCTGGCTTCCACTGTGGAGAGGGGTGGCCATCCTGCCAGCAGAGCTGAAGCCCTCGTGGTGACCTCTGCCAGAAGGCACAGTGAGTGCACTGGGAAGGCAGAGGTATCACCCGAGTCCTTAGAGAGAGACCCAAAGCCATGGGCCTCAGCGTTTCCTCTCCAGAGTCAGTACCATGCAGCATGCAAGAGAAGTCCAAAGTGCTGGCCAGATGTGGAGGCAGCCCCTGCCCCAGCCCAAACCAAGAGGCCCTTGCCTTGAGAGGAGGGCCCTTGCCTTCACAAGCATGTTTCAGTGGATCCAGAGAGATGAGCCCAGCTGCCAGGCACAGCCGGTGATGAGACCAGCTGGGGCAGCTCTCATTTCTGTGAACACCTCCTGCCTGTCAGTGGTCACCCAGAATGGGCCACTTTCCTCAGCAGAGCAGGATCCGGGGCAGGGACCAGAGGCCAGAAGGTACAAGCGTACTTTACAAATTGAAGCCATGCTTGTGGCAGGACAAGAAAGTTCAGGGCTCAAGGCTGGGTGCCAGGCTGCCGAGGGCCTGGGGCCGCTCTGGCGGGGGGCTGCTGGGGTCACACTTGCAGCAGGTGAGTGTGGCTGGGCTTGATTTGCACCCTTGAGATCTGTAGTGGAAATGTGCTTGCCTGCGTGACACTTAGAGCTGTGTGGCCCTGAGCTGCCACCTATGCAGGGCACCTTTGGTGCAGGCCTGGGGACAGGACTCATGCGGGGGATCCCTCACAGGAGTGACAGCCCCTTGTTCCTCTCTTTCCCAGACCTGGAGCTGCCCCTGCCAGCATGCGGGGACCACTGAGCATGTGTCCTTGAGGTGGACACCACTCACACCCTGGCTGAATCCTCAGCCCAGTACACAAACAGAAGCCTGCCTGCTGCAGGGACAGCTGGTCATCTTGGTCACCTGCCTGCTCCTCCATGTCTCCCTGAATGGTGCAGGGGCTGGCATTGCTCTGAGGATGCTGAGAACTCCCCACAGGGCAGTGCCTGGGGTGTGGGCGGGGGCCAGGGGCTCTGCCCCAAGCTCCCCTGGACAGTAGGTCTGGCCACTCCTGAGGGTCTCGTTCTCAAGGTTCCACCCTGCTGCCTGTCTTCGGGTCTGCTCCACCAGGCCAGGATTGTGAGTCCTTGTCTTGGTTGAGGAAACTGAGACTCAGAGGCAACTGTGTGTGTGTGGGGGGGGGGTGGTGCAAACGGCGAACACAGGAGGAGGACCTGGGGGCGCTGGCTTCAGCACTGGATCCCTGTGCCTGGCCCAGGCCATGTGCGCCTCATCCTGGCTTATAGCTGTGTGGATTCTGTCTTGTCCTCCCCTGCTGAGCTTGTGGGAAGCAGGGGAAAGAGTAACCCAAATGTTTTCCTAGCAAGCTGGCTTGGGATGAATCCAAAGTATTCCTGGGTGCAGGGGGACAGTGGGTGCTGGAGATGTAGCTCTGTCTTGGGCTGCCCCAGCACCAGGGCAGGCCGTGTGGGGGCATGTTGCTGTGGTACTGGCTGGTGCAGGAGCCACCCTTCCTGGAGCTGCTGGCAGCAGCTGTATTTTTATTTATTTTATTTTATTATTATTATTTTTTGGCTCCGAATGCCTTCAGGGCAGTTTTGGCTGGTTGGAGTTGTGGGTATTGAACTACAGCACAGCAACCTGAGGCTGGTTTGTTGAAGCAGCTGCTTAAAGAACTGAGCTGAGGGGCAGGGCCCCTCGGGCCCCTCGGCTACATTTTTATATCACACCCGTCGGCATGGCTCAGCTATTCCAACACGGTGCTGGACCAGAGCACAGGGTGGCCCTTGCAGGCCCATCTCAGGTCTGCCTGGCAGCTGTGGGCTCAGTGTGGCGCTCAGCCCCCAGCTCCATCGGCCCACAGTGCCCCTACACAGGGATGGTAGGGGCAGGGTCTCCAGTGCGGCAGGCCCCTGCTGTGTCCCCATCTGCAGCTCTGCAGGTCAGGGAAGGGCCATCCTGCTCCCAGGGAGACCTGAGGCTGCTCTGTGGGTGTGCTGCAGGGCTGGGGCGAGATGCGGTTTGGGTGGTAGGCGTGTGGATTCATGGGGGAGGGATCGTGCGTTCTGCTGCAGGCCCCCTCCGTCTCCCACCCCGCGCCAGGGTTGCACATTCTTCCCAGCTGGGTGCAAAGGGTCGGGCCCCTGCGGCGGGCACAGTGCCATCCTCAGAAGGCCGCCTGGGAAGCAGAGTCAGCTGCAGGCTGGGCCAAAAGAAAGCCCTGGGGACTGAAAATGTTTTCCTTTCCTGCCAAGAGGATTTGTGGCTGCTCCCAGTAAAAAGCTTCGGCACAATAGGATTATTATTGCTGAGATAAGGAGTCAGCTGGGCAGGCCCAAGGGGAGCAGGGGTGCAAGTCCATTAAAGGTGTCCTGCCTTTAGGTCCAAACACAAAACATGCGCAGAGCTACCTGGCAGCTGAGGAGAAAGAAGAAACAGGATATGCTTGTCCCTCCCCCAGTGCTGCTGGGAGTGGGTGGAGCTGGAGCAGTGTCCCCCAGTCCCACAGGGCAGATTCTCAGCTCTCAGGTATCCATCCCAGGGAGGGTTGGGGACCGGGAGAACCTCAGAGGGCATCCAGAGCAGTCTTGCGGAGGTGGGAGTCCCTGACACCAGTCCCCAGGCCCCGCCTTAGACACGTCCCTGGCAGCCCCTGCAGCCACGGAGCCAGCCGCACAGGGCTGACCAGGCGCAAGCTGCTTTCCCCTCACTGCCAGCGTCCCACACCCAGGAGAGCCCAGCCCGCTCAGGGTCCAGCTCTGGCCAGGCCACCTCCATCCCCTCCCTGTCCCACGCCCCTGTGGGGCCTCCCTCCCCACTGGCTTCCTTTCAGCAGGCAGGCCATAGGTCCCCCAAGGCATTGCCCAGGGCCACTGCCAGCTTGGCAAGGCAGCAGCTGGGCAGCCCAGGCTGCCCCGGCCCAGGCAGGAACCCCAGAAGGCCCTCTCTGCTCACGGTCCCTTTGGACTGCAGGGCCAGGCTGTGTGAGGCCGCAGAGAGCGACACCCTACAGGGCTGGGGGCTGGCAGGAGAGACTGCGGCAGGAGACCAAGCAGAGCTGCGCTGGGCTCGAGTGGGGGATTGTCCGCTTCACATGCAGGCCCGGCTGCCCGCGGCTGTTCCTCCTGGTGGGCGTTTTCTCCGGGGTTCATCAGCTCTTCACAGCCTCCACGTGGCTTCTGGAGGATGCGGGGCTCTTGCAGGGTGTGCGGGGCATGTTCTGGAGAGGGTGCTGTCTAGCTCTGCGACCTGCCTCAGCCTCCCACAGTGCCGGGATGACAGTCTTCCGCGTGGCATGTGTGCAGTCAGGACTGCCCTGCCTGGAGCTGTCCTCTCTGCTGGCTTCATTGCAGCAGTGCTGAGATTAAATGTCAGGCCAAGAGGACCAGACAGGCCTGTGGTGCCTCAGCCGCAAGCGGCCTTCCTGCACGGCCCCTCCATGGGGAGCCAGGCCCAGCCCTGCTTACTGTGTCGTGGAAACAGTGCCAATTGCCCACCCGCCTCCCAGGATATAAAATGCCAAACTGTGTTGAGAAATAATTCAGTTACCAGCTTCCTGCAGTGTGCACCACTGCACACCAAATTTAAAGTGAAATCTGTCCTCTTTTAATTGGCTCCAATGAAGCTGTTATACACGATTGATTGCTGTCCTGGCTTCCATGAGGCCTTAAGTAGCTGACGGAGCAGCAGAGCGAGGCTCTTGCTTTGATACTGTTCAGCAACTGAAGGGC